GATCTCCCACACCCCAGTGGTGAAGGACAGAGAGGCAAAGAAATAAATAGGACAAGCTGGGCATGGTGGCACACGCCTGTAATTCCAGCACTCTGGAAGGCTAAGGCAGGAGGATCGCAAGTTCCAGCCCAGCTTGGGCAAGACAGTGACCCTACCTCAAAATGAAAGAAGGAAAGAAAGAAAGAAAGAAAGAAAGAGAGAAAGAAAGAGAGAAAGAAAGAGGTGGGCTGGGGATGTAGTTTTATGAGAAGGCCCTGAATTCAATATTCAGTACCTGAAAAAAAAGAGATATAATTAGAACAGGAAGTAATGAGTTTAAGGAGGGGTGTGAAAGTGTGATTTTTATGAGCTGCTCTCTGCTTTTATGTACAACTAATACTACAAGGCTGAGTTTCCCTGGACGAGGCTTTTGCTTTGTGTTTGGGAGGTAATCATATTTTTTGACAATTTTAAATCCTAGATGAACTAATAGAATTCATAAAGGTAATTAGAAGTACTAGTTAGTTGTTCTGAGTGTCCTCATGCAAAGTAATCATAATCAATCTTCTACCAAACTACTCAACATCTTTAATTTTGTACTAATTAGGATATTTTGATTGCAAGAAACAGAAACTCTGACTCAGAATGGCTTTAAAATAAGGCACTGTATTAACTTGTATAATAAGAAGCCTAAAGATACGGCTGCCTTGACAATATCAATGACCCAGATTGTTTTCTGCCCCTCTTCCCTTAGCCTTCTGGGAAAACTAGTTCCTCTTGTGTGTTAGTATGACTTCCCTTAGGAATTCTGGTGACACGACATCTTGTTTGTAGGTGAGAGAACAAGTAGAAGTGCTGATAGGCCCCCTTCGTTCACATGCCAAACCCTGGACCAGTAATTCACCAATGCAAATGCCACGTGTGGTTTGGCTCACATCTAGCTAACCACACACTGACAAAAGTGGAGAAGGATTGCTAACATTTATTTAGGCCAAACAGAGCCCATTCTTTGGCAGTAAGAGATAGAACCTTCTTCCCCTAAATCTCCTGGGTTGCCTGTGGGAGTATTAGATGCTTCAGCAAAGTTGGGGTTCTGTTAAGGAAGAGGGAAAGGGGAATAGGTACTTAGTAGGCAACTAAAAGTGACAATTACAAACCCTGATATGCAGTAATGAGCAAGGGCTGCCAGAGGCAGTGACAATAATGAGGCTGAGGACAGCAGTAAGGATGCCTGCTGTGTGGATCTCAGATCTGTTTGCCAGTGTGGAATATCATGAAGAGGGCACTCAATACTCTCGTGCTATGCCTAGGATCCTAACTGTTCCCCAAAAGCTCCTGGGCTAAAGGCCCCAATGGAGTGATCAGAGGTAGGACCTTTGGGAGGTGTCTGGATCATGAGGGCTCTTATCTCTTCAGTGGACTAATCTATTCATGGATTAATAACTTAAGGGCATTGAGAGGTGATGGAAGCTTTAGGAGGTGGGGTGTAGTTGGAAGTAGAGATCATGGGAAGTTGGCCTTGAAGGGTATATTTTGTTCCTAGTCCCTCCTTTTCCTTCTTCCTGACCACCATGAAGTGAGTAGCTTTGCTTTGCCACAAGCTCCCCACTATAATGTTCTGCCTCACCACAGGCCCCAAATAATGGAGCCATCATAGCCTGGAACCTCTGAAACCATGAGCCAAAATAATCCTTTCTTCCTTTAAGGTGATTTTCTGAAGTATTTTGTCACAGCAATGAAATGCTGACTTAGTCATGTTGGTTAGAAATGATGGCAACAGGATGTTTAGGCTGGACACAGGAGTTTCCAGGTAGACTGAGGAGGCGAGGGAGGTGGGGTTAGATGACGAAACACATACTCTTGCTGTGTATGTAGAAAGAAGTCTGTCTGTGAGTCAAAGAGAGGAAAAAACCCTATGAATTGTGAATAGTCTCGTAGTGGCTGATCACTGCTGACTGGGGACCAGAAAAAGGCTGAAACACACACCCATGTTCAGTGCCTTCCTCCCTCAAACTTCCTATAAATTGTTCTTTCAGGAATATTCATCTCTGGTCTGCCCTGCTCTTTGCTCTTAGAGCATTGTTTAATCTCATTGTCTTTATTTTGCCCTTATGTACAACAAGGAATTTTAATAATAGTATCTACCCTCACGGTGTTGCTGTGAGTGTTGAGTAAGTTCATGTGTGTGAAACACTTAGACTGGAACTTAGTAAGCAAAGTGATGATGGTGGTAATGATGATTTTAAAAAGTAGTACAAAGGAACAGTATGTGCATAAAAATAAAGGAGCAAGAGAAAACAAGTGGACAAAATAGAATACTATTGCTGTTGAGGTGTGGACATTTTGAACAAAACTAAATCTGTGAGTTGCTAGGGTGCAATGACTCCTGTCCCTCCTGTTTTCTTCCTTTTGGCATGAGAATTTCTTGGATGCTATCCTTTTCCTGTGTTCCCACTGGGTACTGGGTCTGGGGGCCAGATAACTTGTCTTCTGAGTTTCACAGATCCCCAGGGAAGAGGAATTGTGCTCCATTGTGCTCCAGGGCCTGGTCTTCATGAGTTACACCCAACAAAACTTATCCATACCTGGGCCTGAATTAGAGAATGGAATTCGGACTTTACAGTGATGTTGGAGTGGAATGAGATGTTCGGAGAACTGGAGAGGGGGTAGGTGTACTTTGCCTATGGGAGGAACATGAACCTTGGGGGCCCAAGTGTGGACTATGGCAGACTCTAAGATGGTCCCAGGTGAATCTCACCTGCTTGTATTCTCATCCACCTAGAGCCCCTTGCCTTGAATGTAGTTGGTACCTGTGACTCACTGTTATCCAACAGAGTATGGTACGGTCCCATATGGCTCCTGGGATTGCATTAGAGAAGACTGTAATTTCGATCTTGCCCACAGGCTCTATTGATTCACTCCATTGGTGGCTTTGATGAAGTGAGCTGCCACATGGAGAGGCTCACGTGGCAAGGACTCTGGGTGACTTCCAGCAGGGAGCTGAGGCCCTCAATCTGACAACCCATAGGGAACTGATTGCTGTCAATAGCCTTGAGGGCTTGAAAGCAAACCATTCTCCCGCCGAGCCTATGATGAGACCTGGCTTTGGTTCACACTGTAATTGCAGGTTTGTGAAAGACCCTGGAGCAGAAGATTCAGGCTGCTAGAAAAAGATACTGATGGGGCCAAGTTTATCCCATCACTACAATAAATTCTGGCTGCATCACAGCTTTCAATGCTGAACACAAGATAATTAATGTTCGAGTGGAAAATGCCGAGGGAGAGCCAGGTGTGGTGATTCACACCTGTAATCCTAGCTCTGAGACTGAGGGAGGAGGATAGAGAATTTGAGGCTGGCCAGGGCTACACAGTGATGCCCTGGCTCAATATAAAATTAAAAGACTCCGGGGATGTACCTCAGTAGTGAGTACTTGCTTAGCATGCTCGAGGTCCTGGGCTCCATCCCTGGTTCCACAAAATAACAACAAAAACAGAATTATCTAAATGTCAAACTTTCTAGATGACAATGTTGGGGTACAGAGGAGAATGATACCCCAACACATGATGCTTTGGCACACGGAATGCTTTGAACTGAAGGAGAACCAAGGTCTCTCTTACCTTCTCCTGACCTCCTGTCTCTTGTTCCTCTTTGTCTCCTGTAGCTCAGGGAGAGGCTTTTTCTGAATTTCTCTTATCTCCCTCTAGACCAGATCCTCCAGAAAGAATCTCGTCATCCAGAATTTGATAGACTCTTGTCACAGGACAAAAGACTGGAGGGTAACATCACATCCAGACAGACTTAGCCCGGGCTGTCACCTTTCTTTGGCCACATTCATTCTCTCTGCAAAATCCTTCACTGCTCCCTGAGTTGCCTCACACCCTCTTTCCTCTTGCCTATGAAGACAGTATATTAGGGGTGAGGGAAATATATGATGACGGTTTAAATTTAAACAAATTTATTGCAATAAAAGACACATTGCATTAGTTCCCCTCAGGATACTCCCCCTCACTTCAAACACACTCATCCCATCATTCTTGCCACTTTCTGAAGCAGTTCTGGAAGTCCTCATTATGAGTGTCTTCATGAGTTATGATAAAAATACAGGGAATGCTGCTGCTGAGCACCATCCAATGGAAAGGCAGGCTCATAAAACATTACCATGTGTCCTCGTCCACCTTATGCATCTAGTCTGGCAGTGTGTGACCTCTGGCCCTTCCCCAATCAAAATGAACATAAAAGGTAAACATTTAGAATGGATTCAGGACATCAAAACACAACTGACAGCACAGCTAAAGACACTCATGAAAGAGGACTTCCGGACCTGCTTCAGAAAGTGGCAGGACAAGTGTGTTTGAAGAAATAGGGAGTGTTTTGAGCAGGATTAATGGCAATGTATCTTTTACCATAATAATTTTTAACACCTCCCATCACTTTAATCTGTTGGGTTACCCTAAGTTTTTGGTTTTGCTTTGTTTCCGGAGGCAGAGTCTCAGTGTATAGTCCAGATTTCATTCTCCCTGCCTCAGCCTCAGGAATCCCAGGATCACAGGCTCGCACTGCTGTACCTGGCAATAATATTCCTTCTTGTACGTATCAAAACTCGTACTGGCCAGGGATTTAGCTCAGTGGTTTCGCTGCTTGCTGCACAAATGCAAGGACCGGAGTTCGAACCCCAGTACCCCCAAAAAACAAAACCAAAACAAAAGAACAACAACAACAACAAAACCTCATACTGAACCATGAGTTCTAGGTTGCAAAAGAGGATTTATTTTTTGCATCTGTCCATTAAGGCTTAGCCTACACGTCAGAGAAAAACAGACACACAAGTGACACCTCTATATAATTTTTAAGATTTAAACACAAATTACAGTTGTTTTTTTTTTAAGAGTAGGAAAATTTTATTGGGAGAAAGAAAGCTTCTGCCTAAGAGAGACAGAAGGGAGACCAGAAAGTGGGTTGTATAGTTTTTTTTTATCACATCTGGTACAGGCTTCTCAATCTCAGGTTGTTGGAAACTGGCTTTTTTTTTTTCTTGTGATTCTTCACAAACATGATACAGTTATAAGTCTTTTCTCCTGCTGGTATCTCTACTGTCAGTTTATTTAATATACTCAATTTATGAAACTTTCAGAGAATGAAAGGAAAGTTCTTACACCAAGAATGAAAAGGCAAATTCAACAACACAAAACTAAAAAGACTTCTGTATGAAATTAACATGGAAAGTATGAAAAAAAACTGGAAAAAGAATTCCTGTGTATACACTGACAAAAAGCTGTTTTCTTTAATATACAGAGTTGAAGCGATCAAGACAACAATGCAATTAAAAATGGCAGAGAACAGATTTCAGAGAACACATAATGCAAGTATCAGATAAAGACGCTTAGCCTTATAATAAGAAACCAAATTAAAAGTACAGTGAGACACCATTTTTAAATCTATCAATTGGCAAATGTAAAAATGTTAGCATACTCTGTGGTAAGGAATGAGGAAAACAGACATGCATGCATGTGAGTATTGCCTCTACAGAGGGCAATGTAACAAAATATCTATCAAAATATCAAATATAGGGCTGGGGATTTAGCTCAGTGGTTTCGTCGCCTGCTGCGCAAGCGCAAGGACCCAAGTTCGATCCCCGGTGCCCCCCCCCAAAATCAAATATGGCATAGCAATCCCACCTCTTGAAATTTAATCTATATCTATAGCTACACATAAATGTAGCTATATATATATATTTTTTGGTACCGGGGATCGAACACATGACCTTGTGCTTGCAAGGCAGGCGGCGGAACCATTGAGCTAAATCCCCGACCCAAATGTAGCTATATTTTATATGTTAAAAAATATTCACAGAAGCACAGTTTTTAAACAGGAAAATATTGAAAATAACCAACATGTATAGAAATAGAGTTCTGTTTAAACATCTAGTTTAAATGAACAAATTAAGGGTTCTATTTGTACTGACACAAAACTAGTGCCAAAGTTTTTAAAAATGCAGAGAGGGGAACATTTTGTGATACATTCTATATGCACCAAAAACTTACACAACAGACATGCTTGTACATGCAAAGGATATTTCTGGAAAAATAGACAAGAAACAAGTAACAGTGCTCACTTCCAGAATGGAGAACTGAATGGCTGGGGTGGCCAAGAGTGAGATGGATACTTTCTTCTTATTCTATAGTTTTTTTTTAATATTTGGGGCAAATATGATCAATGCATCCTTTGTTCATAATTTGTTAACCAAAAAAAAGTAGAAAGAGGCAATGTTTGGCACCCAAAGTCTCTCTCCAGGACTTAAAAGAAGGATGTACTTTCAGGCAGAGAGAAAGAACAGCAAATGCCAATAGAGAGCGCCAGAGAATGCCCCCTGTGTTGGCATAAAAGAGAACATCCACCGCATTTTTCCAACTCATTTTAAAATAGTGGGTTACAAAGCTCTCTGGGCTCAGCCCTTAATGATTGTTGGTTAGAAGACTGCCAGGCATTATTTTTCAAACGCCAACTTGCAATCCTCTATAACCCAGAAGGCTGTTTTTCTTGGGAAAAGTTTTAGTGTTTAGAGACTGGACGGACAACAGAGTCGACAGCCAGGCACCTAGCAAGTGGGGCAGCAGTTGCCCTGCGGCTGTTCTCTCGTCGTGCTCTTTGCTCCTTCGGGGCTGTGCTGCTGCTGCTCTTTCCTGGGTCCAGCCTGTGACCCCAGCTCTGCAGCTGTGAGTGCCGGCAGCCCTCTCCCGCCTGCTCCTAGTGAAGCAGTCCTGGCTGGCTCCTGGCAGCTGTGACTCATTGCAAATGCTTTGCATTCCGGGATGCTCTGCAGGGCTTTGGGTCTCCCCAGTGGCTTCGAGCATGAGGCAAGTTGAAAGGGAGGAGAAAAAGAGGCCCCACGGCTGCCAAAACACTGCAAGGATGAGGAGGACATTGTTAGGAAAGCTGAAAAGAGTGTGCCGGAAGGACCCCAGCCAGTCAGCCACGCCCACGCCCTCCCTCAGCCGGGCCTGCTGGTTACTTGGGGGCAGCCCTTGGAGGCTCCATTCACAGGCCCAAGAGCACCACACCCATCTGCAAACCATTTCTGTCTGTCCTTGAAGGGCTGAAAGGAAGCTGCTCTAGAAAGCAGTCATCTTGTCTGTATTTAAAGAGATTTTGCGTTTGTTAAAAGCCCCTTGTCTTTCCTTTTTTTAAAGTGCTGGGGATCCAAAGCAGGGCCCTGTGCATGCTAAACAAGCACTCTATCATCATCTACACTGCCAGCCCCCTCAGAAACCTTTTATATGCTTCTGTTCTTTTATTTCCCCCTTTAATTGCCACAATAGCATCATTAGGGTTTTTTGTTTTGTTTTGTTTTGAGAGGTTATGGGTGCCCTGTTTCTTGATTCTATGTTTGGGGAAAAGTTCACTTTGCCTATACTCCAGAACTTTTTTGGATAAGAAATCTTTGGGTTACACTTCGTGTTATGGTTTGGGTCTAGATGTCCCTCCAAAGTCTCGTGTGGTCATAGGTGGCTGAATCTAGAATGTGTGATGCTGGGATTAAACCACTACACGTGAGTGACTGCTTTGGCACTGCCCTAATCCCAGGAGTCTGAATAAGATAAAAGGTGCAGAGAGACACAGTTAAGGGCCCTTGTGGCTTTTGCTGTCTTCTGCTGCCATGAACTGTTGCCCCTCTGCTATCCTGCCTTGGAGCCAGCCCATTATGGACTGAAACCTCTATGAACTGTAAGTTAAATAAACCTTTTACCCTTCAACTTTGGATGTTGGGTGTTTTGTCTCAGCAATGAGACAAAAGTAACTAACACTCTGTTAGTCATTGTTTCAATGCCTTCTGCCACTGAATTCAGAGACCACTCTGTTCCCTTCAGACAATCTGATATTGTCTGAATGTCTGAAGACTTCTTTCTTCACTTTTGCATTTTGATAGGTAGCCCAAGGTATGCCTCAGGGTTGAATGTTCCATGTTAAAGTTTTCTGAAATATAATGTGTTTGTTAATTCTGCAGATGAATTTTTCTTTCTTTCAAGGATTATATTAGCCAGTTTTCTATTGCTATAACAAAATAAGCAAGGCTGGTAACTTTATAAAGGAAAAAGGCTTAGCGCATAAGTTTGGAGGCTTAATAGATGGTCACATGCATTGGCTCAACTCTGGTGAAGAAAAGACCTCTTGCCTTTTCTTCTATTTCAGATGGCATCACAGTGGAAGGAGAACTTGTGAGAGGAAAAGATCACATGACAAGACAGGAAGCCAGAGTGAGGAAAAAAGTCAAGCTTTCATGTGTGTGTGTGTGTGTGTGTGTGTGTGTGTGTGTGTGTGTGTGAAACCAGGGCCTTCACACCCAGCCTTTTCTATAATTTTTTTTTAAACTTTGAAGCAGAGTCTTGCTAAGTCACTAAATTGCCCAGGAGGGGCTCAAACTTGCCTCAGCCTTCCTGAATGCTGGGATTACAGGTGTCTGCCTCTATACCCCACCCCAAGACTTGCTCTTTTTATGACAACCTTCTCCCTAGAGTAAGCTCAGGAGTCCCATGAGAACTACTTTAATCTCTTCTGAAGGCAGGGCTGCCCAGGACCTCCCACCAGGCACCACCTGTTAACATCGCTGCACTGCAGACCAAACTTCCAATGCATGAACCCTTGGAGCCTAAACTATGGCAAGGACATTCTCTTGGATAGTTTTCTTTCCAGTTTGTTGGGCTTTCTATTTCAGTGTCACTGTATTGTATTATACCATCTTTGCTCCTCATTACTTATTTCCTTCCTTCTGTAGGGGAGGAAAAATCATTTTTTCTCTGCCTTCATAGTTCTTAGGTGGGACAGACCCTTGTAACAGAAGAAAGATTAACAAGAGAAAATCAAACAAGTCTAGTACCATGTATATCTCATGTATGCATGAGAAACACCAGAAACATGAGTAATCTCCAAAGGAAGCTTTCAGTGAAGGCTTAAATACCATCACTCACCGAAACAAACAAGGAAGGGTGTGGAGAAGGGCAGTTGCAGGGAGATGCCAGGAAAAAGCCAGTAAGCAAGGGAAAGGTTTGTTGCATAAATTTGAGCTGGTTCCTTCCCTAGTTATGAGTCTCTGGTGATTTAGAGTTATCCTTCTCTTCCTGGGCAAAGAGGAGACTTCCTTACAAATGAGATTTCCTTTATAGATATAAATTTTCCTTAAAAATGGGTAACACTGCTCTGTTTTTAGACCTCCTACTGTGTTTGCTATTGCTCAAAATAATCCTTATTCCAAAATGGCGTATTTTGAGGTAGCATAGTTTGGTCTTCTACAGTCACATTTTGTGGTGGCATATTATGGTGTCCTACTTTCTTTAATTTCTTTGTTTTCTCTTTATTAAAATCTGTGTTTACTAAGATTACTTCGAGATTTTGCTCTATGTTACTGGTAGTAAGTCAAGTTTTAGCTATTATTACTCTGTTCCTTCCTGGTTTTAATTTATTTATTAGTTTTGTAATTATGTTGTTTTGTCTTCATTTTCTTTCAGCTGATTATGCTTTTAAATTTTTTATGGGGTATTTGAGCTCTTGTTTTATTTAATTCATGTTTTAAAAACATTGTTCTATAGTGTAAAGCATTTATAGGAAATTTTCATGTTTCTAGTGTTACTTTAAATCAAGTCCTTTATCTATCCTATTTATGCTCTTTTTTTCCCTTCGGATTTCTAAAAAAGCAAATATGTTTGTAAAAGTGGCTTTGTCATTATTTTTTCTGTCAAGTGACTTTCTGCCTAAGATTTCTATTCATTTTAATTCAGGCTTGCTGTTCCTCTGGCTATATTTGTGTCTGGTTTGTTTCAGTTTGTTTTTCTCTCCATGCCATAGTGTGAGAGTGAGGAATTCTGTATACTCATACTTTTTCATGACCTGTGGCAATGGCAGGGCATGGGGTGGGGTGGAGGAGGTGCATATCAGCTGAGGTAATACGCCATCTTCCTTAGACAATTTGGGCTCTGCTTTATTTTGTTACACACCCTGTATCACTTTTATTTCACCCAATTAGAGGTTGTAGCCTGTCTTGGGGGAAAACGGGGGATACTCTTGAGTTTAGGAACATTTAATGAAGGGGCCAAGGACATGCCTACCTAGAGAGCGCTGCTTTGGCATGCTGATTATTTTGAGCTAAAATATTGAGAAACAGCAGATGCAGGAAGGGCTCTCTGACCTGCCCTTTTCTGCCTAAGAGCAGGTCATAGGATCTGCCCTCCTGCTGCCAGGCAGAGAGAACGTTACCAGGAATCAGTGCTGCAGTGGAGCTGCACAAACAAACTTATTAAAATGACGGTATTTCCTACGATTTATACCCCTCCTCCATATCATCCAGCCATTTCCCCACAATTTACTGTCTCTGTCCCAAGTTCCTCTGTCTCGTCATTTCTGTATAAATTTATGATTACTTTGTCTAAAAATGTATCATAGTTTTCGGCTCTGGCCACTTCTTCCAGACTTCTACTTTTCTCTTGTGATGTAAGAATGTAACAAAACTTGTGGGCTTTCCTTAAACTTGTGCGTTAATCTGCCTTCGGTCAGTTTAATTCTTAGGCCAGATGGAGGCTCTGAGGAGGCAGAGGAGAATTTTTCCCTCCCCAACAGTTCTGGTAATGAAGACATTTCACTGCTGCGGCAGAGAGATCCTGTGGCACAGACATAAGCCAGAAGAAAGTAAGAATTCTTACCATGTCAGTTCCCCAGATCGCTGCCTGCAGGGTCTGCTTGAACTGAGTCATAAGAATCTCTTCTTATCTTTTCCCCTTTCTAAATTTAGATTCACAGAAGAAAACACTTGCATAAAGTAGTCCTTTGTGTATATCAACCCTGGGATTTCATTTCAAGAACTCCTGTTTTCTATTTAATCCCCTTCCTTCCAGAGACAGCTGTCACTTTCCTTTGTCTCCTTTGTGTCCTGTGTCATAAGGTGGAGACTCCTAGGGTGGAACACAGGCATAGGTTCTTCAGTCCTGGTGCTTGAGTTGGCCTCACACCAGTGTATTCACAGTTCTCACCAGGCTGGTATCTGCTGAAACAGACTTGTTGGTCGCCAACAAAATAAAACCAGATGAGATTTTCCTTTTGCCTTGTTTCATGTCCTGAAAGCTTGGCTTTGTGACTAGTGAGAAAATGCTTCCCGGTCTCCCCTAGCAGGGGGCACAGGTGTCAGTGTGTGTCAGGTGGCTACCCAAGCAGTCTGGGAACCCAAGACAACAGGTGACATGCAGCACTCTCTGTCAGACTGTGCTAGCTGGGGGAGCTGGCCTCAGTAGGAAGTCCCGCCCATAAAGGGCACTGTTTCAACTTTTGTTGTCTTATTAGTACTGAGAGACCTCATCTCAGTATGTGGGTCTGTGGCTGGAGGCATCTCTCGGTTTGTGAGAGACTGAAGACCCCATTTCCACAGACAATATTCTTACTGCCGTGACAATGAAGGTATTGTATTCCTAGGCCATGTCTGGGAGTAAACTGTTTTGGATCATGGTGGGTTACATCTTCTGCACTTACTTTAGGAGTGTCTCTCACATGCATGTTAAAGATCTACTGTAAGACTGGAAAGTTACTGCTCACTGTTTCCATGAAAAGGCTTATTGATTTGATTTGCTATTTGAATAAATATACCCTTAGATATTCTATTCATCAAGGGCCAGATGTTGAATACTTTTAATTGGAAAAAAATCTTTAGAGAGCTTTCATCTAAAACTATGACTGGTATCTATGGGATGAGAAAACTGAAAAGAGGACACAGGAGTGTAATGATAGTCATAAGATACCCTCAGCAAGATTAAAGAATAGAAATCAGACTGACAACTAAAGTTAAAATCTATATCCAGTACAAATTCTCCTCTCTACCCACTTACACTCCCTACCCTAGACCCCCCAGATTTCTTGGATCTCTGA